CCCCAAAACCCCAAAACCCCAAAACCCCAAAACCCCGAGCTGTTAAGATAAGATTGTTCATTCCATCACAAAAATATATTCAAATTAGGATAAGGTTATGCAGAAATAAGGAATGATCATCGAGCGTAAGGGTTACTATATGAGAGCCAAATAATTCCAAATATTTGGACAGTATCTTAGATAGCATAAAGAAGAAGTTCAATAATAATATGACTCACAGTTACATATTTTCTATATAGAGAGATTGAAATTAGAGTCAAAAGGTTACTGGCACTGTGAGCTTATCTATGCTTTGGAATACCTCTAGAGCAGTGAGATTTTAACTAGATTGAAATTTTGCAATATTTTAAATGTAACAAAGCAAGATCAGGTGAAAATTATTACATAAAAATTGAATGTTTGGTCTCAGTTACAGATTTTTAGGCACAGTTTCATATTTTTCAACACAGTTACACGAATTTTGTACAGTTACAATTCTATGACACAGTTACAAAAGAGGAGATGCCTAATCTATTCGAATTTATTGACCTTAGAACTGAATAATCAACATCTATCGAAAATTTCCTCATCAATTTGAACAAATCTGATTTATCCTCAGTATTTCCAACCGTTTCAACTTCTGACTGGATTCCTTTACCTGATTCAGAATAGTTTGCAGATGCTTTAACGAATTCACTAGAATGGTAACTGTCATGACAAGGATGATAAGTCTTCTATCTCTTCTGATCTGACCTCTTCTACATTTCAAGCGTTCATAGAAATAGAGATTTGTAATAAATTACAGTTTCTTCTTTTTACTGGAATCTCTCTACTAATTGCCCAAAAAGGCATCTCACAGTTATGTTTTAGATTTAGCCAAGGTCAAGGACTTGCCTTCTTATGGGATCAAATCAACCTAAAACGGCATTAATCCTACCTCTCAAGGTCTAAAACTTTGATTAGGTTGGTTCCTCAATTTCAGATAATATTAAGCCAATGTTTATGTAACCTGAGTTGCATGGCCAAACCAATATTAAAATAGTTTTAATTAACAGATTTTATAAAAATTTACTAAAATGTTTGGAAACTCAGACTTCCTTTACGAATATATCTCTTCAAATAGCCTCTTTTGTGAGAATAATGACGAAATGACCTGAAAGAAGTTCAGTAAAGACCAACTGGGCTTCTCTCAGTGTGAGAGTAACCATCGGACGATATTTACTGAGAATTTGAAAAGTAGTGACAATCCTCATACTTTTCAACCTATAACGGCACCTGGAGGGACCAACTTGTTCATAAAAGACGAAGAGGACAAAGAAGAGTTCCATAGCTGAGAGAGTTCGAATTCTGGTAAACTTTCTGGGCCTATTTCGCAACATTCTAAAATTGAAGAGAATTTATGCATGCCAGAAACGAAGAATGATAAACCTGAGATAAAGGATTCCTCTGTGCTTGCTTCCTTATCAAATAACTCTACTCACAGAATCTCTGGGGATGGTAACCAAGGCCAGATGAAGTCCAAGTTCACAAACCGGCTACGATTTGCAAAAACCCATGATAGAGGTAAACTGAAAATCACTTGGGTTCTAATTTGACTTTTTATTTACATTTGAAAATAATTCCTAGATTTATGCTATTTATGACCGAAAGAGTATTTGGACTTGAACAAATCTCTTTCAAGTACTGAACGCAATCTTCAACTCAAGGTCTGTAGCCGTACTTCAAAGGCGTTGTCGTAAAATTTATGATTTTTTATTAAAATACCTACTTTTTGAGTTTGATTAAAATTTCAGTTAAACATACTCTGCTATTTTAAAGCTAACGCCTCATTTAGATATGTTTAAGAGACTCCTAGAATTATGCGACCAAGCAGGGTGAGAAGTTTCAGAGTTTTGGAGAACAAATTCTCTTTTAAATGAAGCCCAATGGGCAATTATTCAAACCCTTGCTAAAGAGATAAGTTGGGACACTGAGAAATCTGAACATCTTATTAAAAGGATTAATAAAATTGGCAAGAATAGTGAAAACTTCACTATTCGTGACACTAAGCTGCTTAGGAAGATGATCAATTCTCAAAAATAAGGCAAATTTACCTATAGATTTTGCTGAAATATCATACTATTTCCCTGGAAAGTCCATCAATACATTAAAATCAAAGTACAATGAGAAGTACAAGTCTGGAAGTCCTCACTTACTTCCTTAAACTCCCTCACAACATCCAAAAAATCAAAAATGAACAAAACTTCAATATTTTTACTGAATTCCCTACTATTATAGTAAACTTCAATTTTTCAAAATCAAAAAGGGGTTTTGGGGTTTTGGGGTTTTGGGGTTTTGGGG